AAATGCTTCTACTGCCACTAGATCCACAAGACCTTCTACCACTGGCCTGTGGTCTTCCTGCATTCGGCATCATTGCATGTGCTGTGTGAGTCTAAATAAAGAGGAATTTATGGACTAGTATCGGACATATGGGCTAATATCAGACTTACGGACTTGATCTTGACTGGGCTGGAATGTATTCTCAATATACAATTGCTCTTTGATATAGAACACTTTCTTATACACATGTGTGTCTATGACTGTTTCTCTAGTCAACTCAGACTAACACAAGGATGAAGTATAGGTATCTGCATTTTCAGGTCTCCTGGATCATTCCAGCACCTCTCAGGGGGTAACAATGAGAAACACTGATTTAATTGATAACATCTTCAAAGATCCTATTTCCAAACAAGGTCACTTTCACAGGTGGTAGTGGGAAATCAGGATTTCAATGGATACTTTTAGGAGTCACGGTTTCATCCACAACAACAATGAATATTTATTCAAGTCCTCATAAGTGCTGAGTACTGAGCTAAGTTAGTTACTTATATGTAGCATCTCACTTAACTCTCAAAAACCCTATGCAGATGCTATTAGTACACTCATTTTACAATGTAAACAGAGGCTTAGCTATATTATGGAATTCAACCATGATGGTGAAGTCAGACTTCAAACCCAGACTCTATTTACAGAACAAGTGTTCTCTGGTGTGGCAATGGTTAAACACCCGGCTACTAAGCAAAGTAAGTAGTTGAAGCTCACCAGTAGCTCTGTGGGAGAAAATAATTGGTGTGGCAGTTACATTATCTCCTGTCAACTTGCAAAGGGGTGGAGGCTAGCCTGTCAATCAGGCCATAGCCAATGAGGCCTCTGTGTGGTCATGGCCTTCTCCTAAGGATTCTGGGAACTCCTGTATTCTGCTCTGGAGGCAGGAGAACTCTGCTTCTTCCTGCTGACAAGACACAAGGAGCCATGCTAGAGCCCTGGAACTGGAGGAGCCACGTGGAGACTCCTGCCAGCGCTGAGATGCTTCCACTGCCACTGGATCCACAAGACTTTCCACCCACTGGCCTATGATCTTCCTGCATTCAGCATCATTGCATGTTTTGTGAGTCTGAAGAAGAATTTATAACTTGATGTCCGACATAGGAGCTAATTTCAGACTTATGGACTTGATCTGGACTGGGCTGGGGAGTTTTCTTTGTACACAATTACTCTTTATATAAAGCTCTTTCTTATACACATGAGTGTCTATGAATCTGTTTCTCTAGTCTATCCTGACTAACATATTTGTGATGTTCCCTGAAAGATTACAGCCTTAAAATCCCTACAGGTCTGTCCTACAGGATTGTTATGAGTCAGAATCAACTTGAGAGCAAGTAGCACAATATATGAGGGGACTTCAAAAAGTTTGTGGAAAATATCCAGTATCTTTTAATTTCATTGTTCTATGAACGTCTTGAAGCCTCCTTGTATTACATTTTAAGGAGTGCTGGTGGCACTGGTGGGTAAGTGTGGGACTGCTCACCACACAGTTTGTACTATAGGCCACAATCAGGCTAAGTTATAGTTATCTGCTTTTGCAGCCCCCTCATAGATGAAACGTAAGGCTATCTGCTCCCATAAAGATATATAGTCTTGGAAATCCTATAGTGTTACTATGAGTTGGAATTGATTTGATTAAAATTTTTTTAAATTACATTTTAGGAGTCCCTGAGTGGAGTCCAGGGGCATAGTGGACTAGGCATTGGGCTGTTAACCTCAACGTCAGTAATTCTAAACCACCAGGCACTCTGCAGGAGAAAAAGGCTTTTTACTCCCATAATGATTTAGTCTCAGAATCCCCCTGGAGCAGTTCTGCTCTGCCTTATAGTGTCTCTATGAGTCATTTGACTTAATGTCAGTGAATTTGAGGGTGTTTTTTTTAAATGGGTGGTGCTGGTGGTTTTGAACTGTTGACCTGTGGTTAGCAGCCCAGCGAGTAATCACTACACCAGGGGAGAAAAATAAAGAACAAAACTAAAAAACAAAAAATACCAGAGTTACTAGTTGAATATAGCCTGATGTGGAACTTCTGGGACTATGGCCCTTAGTCATCCTGCATGTCTGGAACTGAACTCACACCCATGGCTCCATTTTTAATCAAAAATAGACAGGTCTAAGGGGGACAATAACCCTAGGAAGGGACTCACACCTTTTAACAATCAACCATTTAAGATAAAAAGGGCAGCATTTATGCAAGGACAAAATTCAAAAAAGTTAGGAAAGAAAAATGGAAATGGGAAATACAAGGAAGTAGAATAAGTGATGTTGCATTGTGGTGAATGCAATCAAAGGCATGAAATAAAATGTGTTTAACTGTTGAATGGGAAACTGATTTGCTCCATAAATCTTCACCCTATACACAATGAAAAGTTAAGAACAAAAACAAAAAAAGCCCTCCATTGAATTACAACATCATTAGGTTACACAACACTTATTGTTTCTATCTCCCAACTGTGATATACACACATTTTGAATATTTGTATCTTGCTTGATGTAGTATTAGGTGTCATGCAGTCAGTTCCAAGCGACAGCAACCCGATGTACAACAGAACTAAACACTGCATGGTCCTGCACATCCTCCCAATTGTTCCTATGCCTGAGCCAATTGATGTAGCCACTGTGTCAATCCATCTCCTTGAAGGCCTTCCTTTTTCACTGCCCTTCCAGTTTACTAAGCATGATGTCCTTCTCCAGGGTTTGGTCTCTCCTGACAATATAGCCACAGTATGTAAAATAAAGCCTTACTATTCTTCCCTCTAAGGGTTCTGGTCGTACTTCTTCCAACACAGATCAGTTTATCCTTTTAGCAGTCCATGGTACTTTCAGTATTCTCCAGTACCACAATTCAAATGCAGAATTCTTCAGTCTTCCTTATTAACTTTTATGCATGTCCAACTTTCACATGCATATGAGGCAATGGAAAATACCATGGTTTGGGTCAGGCACACTTGAATCCTCAAAAGTAACATCCTTGTTTTTCAATACTCTAAAGAGGTCTTATAAAAAAAAAAAAAAAAAAGAGGTCTTGTTTAGCAGATTTACCGAAAACTTGTCTTTTGATCTCTTGACTGCTGCTCCCATGAGCAGATTGTGGATCGAAGGAAGACAAAATTCTTAACAACTTCAACCCTTATCTATTGGCTCAGTTGTGAACATTTTGGTTCTATTTACATTGAGTTGTAATCCATACTGAAGGCTGCAATCACTGTTCTTCATCAGTAAGTGTTTCAAGTCCTCTTCACTTTCAGTAAGCAAGGTTGTGTCATCAGCAGATTGAAGGGTGTTAATAAGCCTTCCTCCAGTCCTGATGCCACATTCTTCTTCATATACTCCAGCTTCTCTATGTGTTCAGCATACAGACTGAACAAGGATGGCGAGACGATACAATCCTGACACACATCTTTCCTGATTTTAAACAGGAATTCACTTGTTATACACTGCTATATACCTAGCACCTTGCACAGTGTCTGGTACCTATTAGTTACTGAATATATGTGAATAAAAGAGAAAGCAAAACCTTTTAGCGTAAATTCTTCTAATTTTTTCTTTAACCATTTTTTCAACTATTAAACTGAACTTTAATAAAATGTGATTATATATATATAAAACCCTGGTGGCACCATGGTTGAGTTACCCATCTGAAGAACCAGTACCAGGGAAACGATGTGGCAAACTGTTAATGTCAAGATTACGGTTAGGAAACCTGGGGCAGTTCTACTTATTATAGAGAGTTGCTGAGTCAGAATCAAGTTCTATGGAACACAGTACGCAGCAGCACAGAACCATTCATGAAAAGGAGTCGACAGAATTTTCTTTAATAGATTCTACTGCAGTGGGGTCATTCTTCTTGTAGCAACCCTGTATTGAATATTCTGCAAAGCAAATAATTATCAGTGTATTGTCATCTAATTGTTCATAATGCTGGATCATATAGCTCACAGAGCTGGGTACCTTGGTGTGGTCAGGATGTTTATTAAATTAAGGAAGCATTATTAAGTTTTGGGAGATGGGACAATGAAAGGAACTTCAGTAGATTGGAAAGGTACTGTAGAGAGCAAGAGTAAGGAAAACGTGAAATTACGTCTGATTCCTTCTATAAGAGGTTACACGTTATCTTCTTTTTCAGAAGTATACGTGGGTTCCGAGGGCATAAAGTGCCTGCTTTCACAGTGGTTTGTTCAAGCTCATGCGGCAAGTCCAGCTGCACATCTTTTGCTGTCTGGCCTCGATAAGCCGCTGAGTCTCAACCTGCAACTCGGGAAGGTGAAATTTAGGGCAAGGCGAATGTCCTTACATCAACCGCGAACTGTTCTGAAATAGCTTACCCATGAAAATATAGAACATAGCACCTGTTGCAGGGATGAAAGGGAGATTCCACGTGTTTAGCTTGCCTCCGGGACGAGAGTCCTTCCTCAAATTCTGAACAGCTAGTCTTCGCCGCCCCCGCCCCCCCCACCTCACCCCCGGCAATAGGGCGCGGGTTCAGGTGAAACCAGTTTTTCAAGCAGCTGCCTCCCCTTTCCTCTCGTGTTTCGTCGGTCGTAGTTTGAAACAAAGGTGGATGGAGCGATGGGTGAAATCACACTAGCGCCTCGACAGGAGGCGGGGGGGGGGCGACCTGTGCGTTCGGAGTTTGCCAGGAGCAGCCGGTAAACCGAGACGCTACTCTAGAAAAACCTCCGGCAGAGAGGACCCGAGGAAGGCAGGAGCGAAGCCGCCGAGCCGCAGTGCACCCTGGGCATTGTAGTTCTTCCGCCAGGGCCTCCTCCAGCTTCCATAGAGCTCAGTACTTCATCTCCCAGGCGCCCTCGCGCGGGAGGCGTGAGCGGAGGGGGCGCTCGGTGATGAGCTGCGACAGGGGGAGGAGGTTCAGGGCCGGCAGGCAGCTGCTTCCGCGGCGTTCGAGTCCGCCGTGAGTCGGGGCTGAGGGATCTGCGGACGGGCGGGCGGGCGGCGACCAAGGCTGGGTCACCGTCGCGTGCGCCTTTGCTCGTGTTCGCTCCCATCCTAGGGACTCGGCATTCGTCATGGAAGCGCATCCGGTCGCCGCCAGAGCCTCCGGCCGCCGGGTCCCTTGCAGCCGGGAGCGATAATCCCGTAGGGGCGGTCCCCGACCCCCGACCCCCGACCTCCGGCTCTGCCTCGCCGGGGGCGGCCTCACTGCCCCGCCCCCTGGGGGCGCTACCGAGGGGCGTCCGCCTCCCATGCCGCTGCAGCGCGCAGACGTGCCCGGCGCCCGGCGCTGAAGGAAGCTCCGCTCCCAGGCTGCTGTCCGCGTCCTCGTGCGACCTCCTTCCTTCCCCGAAAATGTGGCACAACGTCGGCCTGACGCTGCTTGTGTTCGTGGCCACGCTGCTGATCGCCCTGCTGCTGATGGTGTGCGGTGAGCGGGGGGCCCCCGGCGTGGGTCGGCGCTAACCGGCTGGAGCCGTACGTCTGACCCGTTTTGTCTGTGAGACTTAGACAAGCGCCGGCATGGATGCCTTCAGATAGATGGTCTGTCCATTGCTGTCTTTGCAGTTTGTCTCCCTGGCCGGGGAGGGAGGGAAAGCACCGAGTCGTGGGCTGGGCATCTTGACCGGGTTAAACCAGCTAATTGCTTCACCAGCAGCGCCTGATGCCATTCTTACCACAGCCTGCCCAGATTTTCACCTTGGCCTGTAGTCGAAGGTGAAGTGCCTGGTGACGCTCTTGCTTGACTGGTTCTGACCCTGGTGATAATGAGCGTTTTCACTACCCTCCCTCAAGCAGGGATGGAGACGGTTGGCTTTTCAGTACACGTGAAGAGCTTTGTTTACTTCGGGTTCAGGCATAAACTAAATTCCAAATAGACGATGAATCCAGGCGGTGCTTAAAACCCCTGGCTATATTAAACTCCCAGGATCAGATAACCGAACTTAGCTCTGTAATAATGGCCCTTACTGTGTGTTTGCTGTGTGTTTTTGCCTTCTTGGGATGAGAGGTCGGCAGACTTTGTGCTCACTATTTAGATCTTTTTGGTTTCTTTGAGGTTCCTTGGTGGTGCAGTTGAGCCCCAGTAGCTCAGCACTTGAGATGGCTCTCTGCCATGTGGGGTTGCTGTGAGTCTGAAGTTGATTCCAGGGCAGTGGGTTTTGGGTTGGGAGGTGAAAGAATACCTTATTTGGAAAGGAATAGTCCAGAACTAATGAGGAAGTAATGCCAATACTCTTCTATTTAAAGAGAGATTGAAGGCGGCATACCTTTGTGTCTTCACTGGCTGGATCTTGAGCTTGATTTGACTGGGTCTTAGCAGTGAGCAGGGCAGGATGGAACCAGATGAAATAGGCTTCAGGTTTTCAACTCTTGAAAGATAAGGAATGGCTGGGTAGCGTAGGATAAACCAAAAATCCAAACTCCCTGCCATTGACTGAATCAATTCTGACTAATAGTGATCCTGTAGGACAGAGTACTGGCCCTTTGGGTTTCTGAGGCTGAAACTCTACAGGAACAAACATTTCACCTCATCTTTCTTCCTTGAAGTGGTTCGTGGTTTTGAACTGCTGATGTTGTGGTTAACAGCCCAACTCATAAACCACGACATCACCAAAGCGCCTGGGTAGTTTAGGTATATGCCCTTCAAAACGTGGTTCTTCCCCTTCTGGTGGTCACAAGCCCTTTTGAGAATCGGATAAATGCTGTGATCTCTTTCCTTAGGAAAAAGCATCACTGCGCTTTTTCTTTCTGTTTTTCCTCCCCTAATTCAAAGAAGTCATGGATTCCCTTTAATCCATTCTTGGAGTTGAAAAGATTCGGCCTGGGCATGGACTCCTCCCCTCTTAATCCTATTTGTGGAGTTCAGATGAAGAGGCTGCCCCGGGGGCCTTTTTGTTTTCTGATTTGATTCAATTCAGCAAACTAAGCCTGGACTGCCAGCAAAGCATTGTGAACACCTGAAAAGCAAACAGACAAACCAACAAACAAACTGCCATTGAGTAGATTATTTGACACAAAGTGACCCTGTAGGACTGGGTGGAACTTCCCCTTTGGGTTTCTAAGCCTTGTCTTTCTACTGTGAGGTGGCTTGTAGTTTCAAACTGATAATGTTTAGGTTAGCACTACCCTGCCAGGGCTGGGGTGAACACCCACAGCTCTGATAAAAGGGTCTGCCCCAAGGACACATAACCTAGTTTGCTTTGTAACTGTCTTTGAAACCAAGAGATTCTGATTTTTTAAAAAAAATCATTTTATTGGCTCATACAACTTTTATCACAGTCCATTTTTTTTTTACTTGCCAGCACCACGAGGGGTCCTTTGCCACAGAAGAGTGGGCATTTATTTTTTTATCAATTTATTGGGGCTCATAAAATTCATCACAATACATAGATCAATTGTGTAAAGCACAGCTATACATTTGTTGCCCTCATTATTCCCAAAATTTGCTTTCCTCTTGGGTTCCTGGAATCAGCTCATTTTCCTTTTCCCCCCTCCCCATTCTGATTTTTAATGGCAGGTTCATAGGGAAGGTTTCCTCCTGTCTTGAGCTTTTAAACCTTTCTAGGTCTGTTTTCTTACCATACATCCATAACAAATGGGCTCTGGGTTGCTAAGCCAGAGTACTTAACCTTATTTGCATTTTCTACTATTGAACATTCCCTCTGGCAAGCAGTTCTCTGGACTTTTGTACAGTGTACGTTCAGTTTCCTTCCTACCTACTGGCCAATTGTTATCTTTTCCTAGTTGCTCCTCTACCTCAGAAGTTTGAAACTTTTTTTAACCACAATTTTCAATTACATACCTGAGGGGGCTTCAGATAGTTCATAGTTCCATCTTCTAATCCCATTTTCTCGCAGACTTTTTGAAGTCCCAATGATATATATCAACCCGTTTCTATGTATATTTGTCCAGGCAGCTCTGAAATAAAATATTTAATGGAATAGTACTTATTACCCTTATTGCATGAGACATATGCTGATACTCTCTTTCTTCCACGTATTTTCTTAGCATGGGAGAGCCCAGGACTTGGCCCTGAGACTTGGCCCTTTTTAAAAAAAAATTTTTTTTGGGGGGGGACATAATCCACGTCATACAATTCAATAATTCAGTCATATCAAGAATTACCACAATCAATTTTAGAACATTTTCTATCTTGTACTAGTTGTTAGCTTCTTCTTTCCCTGTGACCTCCCCTGCTGTACCCCCAAGAAACCATTTATCCAGTTGTTTCTCTGGAGGTCTAGTGGTTTGGACCTGCCGACTCTGATTAACAGCCCAATGTGTAATCACTGTGCCACCAGGGGGAGTCTTGAGCACTAACATGTTGGGCTGCAAACTTCAAAGTCTGCGGTTCAAAACCACCAGCAACTCCTCAGGAGAAAGATGAAACAATTTTTTCCAGTAAAGATTTACGGTCTCCGAAACTCATGGGGCAGTTCTATTGTTGGTATATTCAGTAGTATTCACCACCACCAGAATTCAAGTGCGTCCATCGTCTCTGGTCTTGCTTATTCATTGTCCAGCATGCCACAGGCATATGAGGCCGTTTGCAACTATCCTGGTGGGGGTCCAGTCCCCTTCAGCATAAGTGATATCTTTGCTTTTGGTCACCCTAATGAGAGTGTTGGCAGTAGATTTATCGTTTGACTTCTGGACTACTGCTTCCTTAGGCGTTGAGTGTGGATCCAAGTAAAAGGAAATCCATGGCGTCTGCTGTTGTTTCCTCTGTTCATTGTGATGTTGTCAGCTGGCCCAGTAGCGAGACTTTCTCTTACAATTTTTACAACTTTTCTAATTGGAACTGAAGGCTGCAGAGTTTGATCTTTATCAGCAAATACTTCAGGTGATAGCTTTCAGCCAGCAAGGTTGTGTCATCTGCATCTCCCAGGTCGATAATGAGCCTTCCTTTAATTCTGATGCCATCATGTTCTTTTTTATGTAGTAGTTCGTTCAGCTTCTTGGATTATTTGTCTAGCATGCAGATTGACTAAGTATGGTGTAAGGTTACAACTCTGATGCACACCTTTCCTGATTTCAAATCATGCAGCATACTCTTGTTTCGTTCAGATTACTGCCTCTTGTGTTCTGGGATTCCTATTCTTCAGAATGTTATCCATAACATGTTATGATTCACACAGCTGAATGCTTTTGCGTAGTTAATAAAACACAAGCAAACATCTTTCTGGTATTTTCTGCTTTCAACCAAGATCCATCTCATATCAGCACCTAATAGACAATATTTAAACAATAATTAAGTATGGTAGTACGAACCACAGTTGCTATGAGAGAAGTAACTCTTATTACTTAATAAAACACTATTAAGCTTTTACATTTAAGTGCTTTGGTGGCCCAAGGGAGTCCAAGTACCACTAAGACATATCCTACCTATAATGACTTCTACGCATGACAGTCACACAGTGCAACCAAGTTTCTTTTGAGTGATTCCGACTTGCTGGTGGCCTCGTGTGCAGGCTAGAACTGTGTGTCTTAGGGTTTTCAAATAATAGTAATTTTTTTCTGAATTCAAAACTGGATTTGGTTGCGTAATG